AGTTTAGAGATGCAGTGATAAAGATGGAAGGGAAATTCACATTTTATTGCAAATATACATGATTTACACTTGCTGAACCAATGTGCAAACTGAAATGCAGCTCTCGTTTGAAATTCTCATTTTGCGCTGCAGTTTATTGACCAAAAAATGTATACAAAAATACATATAAAGCATGCATATTGTACTCAAAATAACATGCAGAAGTGTGTTATAATAGGGGGAATTCAAAAAAATTATATTAAGCTAAATTGCACACAAAACTGTGTTCATTAGGAGAAATGTGCCCTAAAACACTGAGAAATTTAATGAGCAAACTGATATGGAAATGTGGCAAACCAAATTTATTGAAAAAACAAGGAACTGACGGGCGGGGAAACACCAAAATTGACTGATGTGTGCCTCCCTACACAGGGGAGCAGATGTTGTTGGACTTCAAAGCCCATCAGCCACAGCTGGCATGGCCAGGGATGGAAACTGTAATCTTGCAACATCTGGAAGGTCATGGATTCCCCACCCCTGATGTAATGGACAGATGATTTACAGTTCCGTTGATGTGCACCAAAGACAGTTTTCAGCTAGTGAGTATCTTTAGTTACAAGCTTAGTTTTAAGCTTCAGTTACAAGCCTGTGGAGTTACCTAATACTGATTCAAACCATTAGTCCATTTAGGCTAACAATCCTTTACCTACTATCCTGAAAGTAAGCCCACTTGAACTTGATGGGACTTACTTCCGAGTAAACATTTATAGGATCATACTATGCATTTAGCATTGTATGTCTTGGAACAGGTCTCCAATAACTGTTAGGCAGAGGTCTTCCTCTGAAACCCTGTTAAGCACAAATGCCAGGAATTGATCAATTCATGTGTGTTCCACTCAGGTTCAATCAACCCTGACTTTTCGGGAGATCACTCAATGTATGCTTTAAATGTATTGATGCTGCTGAATTTTATCCATCTTTTGCGCTTCCTTCAGCAGTTTAACACACTGAGTTTTATTTCATTTGTTTGTTTATTGCTGTTAATTATGTGAGCAACCCTGGAATTATTTATTTATTTTTTTAACAAAAGAGTGATATGTCTGTTAAATGCACCCATAGAAAAATACAGTCGTATATATACATATATATGGCATTCCATTCACTGTGTTGGCCAGAATCAGGTTAGTTCATCCATGTGATTAATCCAGAAAAACTTTGCCATTGCTCTCAGAGGCCCTGATTTGTCCTCATTAACAGCATCACCTAATCAAATATGATTATCTACAGAGAACTGTGATGTCATCAAGGCCATGATCCCTGATTGGATGAGATCACCCATATAAGCTTCCAAGAAGGGAGAAGGAAGAAGCAGCAAGGCAAAAATGGTTATAAGGCATCTAAAGGAAGCAACGGCCTTCACACACACAAGACATTGTAAAATGTACAAACATATAAAATCAAAATGTTCCCCCTCCCCGAAAACATTTCTACCCTTCAAAAGTTCCAACTTTCAGCCTGAAACAGCCTTTGCAAGTAAAACGTGTGGGGGTTTGTTGGTTTTTTATTTTAAAAATGAAGGTGTTATGGATATTGTTACATAAACTCATGTCAACTGTCCTTGAGTATATTCTGGCTCATTTAGATCATTTTAAACTACTGCCTTATTTCCTTTTCCTTTTTTTTACTTATGTACCTTCCTACTTTTCAAAATAAAAACCTTTTCCTTGGCAGTTGCAAAAGAAATGTTTCACTACTGCATTTTTAAGACAGAAAGATGTTTAAAGGATGTGTTTCCTGTGGTTTTCTAATAGATGTAGAGTCATTTTGGATTTTTCTGGGAATGCAGAGGTAGAATAAGACATGCTTCATAGGGCTGAAACGTTGACCAAACTCAAGCCAGCAAAAGTCAGCCACGACTAAGTCCCATTCAAAACTGTAGAGCTCAAAATGAACAGTTGGGTATTTAAATCTAATTGATCTCAATGGTACACACACTTCCTGTACTTATCCCCTGCAGTAATGCGGTTATACCGCTTCCCAGTCGTCCAAAAGAAGAAGGCATCCCAGAAGCCTCTGCAAAGGCCTCTGGAGCATCCTTTCATTTCACACTGGGAAGAACATCTGCCAAGCCAGATGTGGCCAGCTTCCCACCTGGCATAGAGAGGCTGTAGAGATTGGGATGCAGCTGTGGCTGCCAGCTGGCCAGCCCTTTTGCTTCAGCATATGCCAGACAAGAGATGAGGATGTCCATAAAGCTTGAGCCAATCATTCAAGAGCAAAGTATCCTGGAGGCACACCTTACATCGGGTGTCAATGGTCAGAAACTGGACCAATCCTATTAGTGTACCGTCCTAAAGAGGATTGCAAACAGCTTGCTGATTTGGGGCATTCTTTCACTTTGGGAGAGGGATGCGGGTGGCGCTGTGGATTAAACCACAGAGCCTAGGACTTCCTGATCAGAAGGTTGGCAGTTCGAATCCCCGCGACAGGGTGAGCTCCCGTTGCTCTGTCCCAGCTCCTGCCAACCTAGCAGTTCAGAAGCACGTCAAAGTGCAAGTAGATAAATAGGTACCGCTCCGGCGGGAAGGTAAACGGCGTTTCTGTGTGCTGCTCTGGTTCGCCAGAAGCAGCTTAGTCATGCTGGCCACATGACTCAGAAGCTGTATGCCAGCTCACCCCAGAGTCGTCCACGACTGGACCTAACTGTCAGGGGTCCCTTTACCTTTACCTTTTCACTATGAGAGACAAGCATGCACTGACCAGAAAGACTTGATGGTGGCGGCTGGCTGCACTCGGCTAAGAACAGGGCACAGTGGCTGGTAGTGTAGGAGTGCGTATAGCTGCCAGAAGAGGATATATTTATTAGCTATTATCCTTCCTTCCTCACATTTGTGAATTCAGCAAAGTGCATCCCTTTGCAGCTTAAAGGGGAAGCTTAGATGGTCTTGTTTTAGCCTTTCATCTTAAGTAATCCAGGATGCTTTAAGGCAGACTGGATTCTTCTGGTATTCCCTCCCCACCCCCCTTAAAAACAATAATCACACAAACAATCTTGTCAATGGTAATATATCTACATATACATACTCACTCATAATATTTGTTGAAGAATAACAGATATAACAGCCTTGTTCAGGCAGGCTTAAAATGGTAATCCAGCTACAACAACAACAACAACAACAACAACAACAAATTTATACCACGTCCATCTGGCTGACTTTCCCCAGTCACCCTGGGCAGGTACCAACAGAATATTGAAAATACAATAAAACATCAAACATTAAAAACTTCCCTAAACAGGGTTGCCTTCATATGTCTTCTAAAAGTCAGATATTTGTTTATTTCCTGGACATCTGATGGGAGGGTGTTCCACAGGGCAGGCGCCACTACCGAGAAAGCCCTCTGCCTGATTCCCTGTAACCTCACTCCTCACAGTGAGGGAACTGGCAGAAGGCCCTCAGAGCTGGACCTCAGTGTATGGGCTGAGCGATGGGGATGGAGACACTCCTTCAGGTATACTGCGCCGAGGCCATTTAGGGCTTTCAAGGTCAGCACCAACTCTTTGAATTGTGCTCAGAAACGTACTGGGAGCCAATGTACGTCTTTCAGGACCAGTGTTATATGGTCTAGGTGGCCACTTCCAGTCTAGCTTAAAATGGTGTCTGAGCAATGGAGTTCAGACATGCAGATATTCTCACATTTCTGGACTGGTGAAGAGCAAAGAGGAAGTGCCCAGCCAGGTGCAGAGGTTATATATGGCTACGCCACCCCCCTGTCAGGGCACAGCGGGAGTGTCTCTTGCAGAGTGCTCTCTAGCAAACTTACAGGAAAACTCTGTGACATAACAAAAACTACCATAGAGATACCCCCCCCCCAAAAAAGGAGGGTGGCCCATGGCTTGGCTTTTGAAAAATGGGGTGTCTACAGCCACTGAGTCTCTTCAGCTTGTTGATCAGAAGCTCAACAGTTTGGATCCACGTGATGGGGTGAGCTCCCGTTGCTCTGTCCCAGCTCCTGCCAACTTAGCAGTTCGAAAGCACGCCAGTGCGAGTAGATAAATAGGTACCACTGTGGCAGGAAGGCAAACAGTGTTTCTGTGCACTTTCATTTCCATCACGGTGTTCTGTTGTGCCAGAAGCGGTTTAGTCATGCTGGCCACATGACCCGGAAAGCTGCCTGCAGACAAATGCCGACTCCCTTGGCTTGAAAGCAAGATGAGCGCCGCAATCCCATAGTCGCCTTTGATTGGACTTATCCATCCAGGGGTCCTTTACCTCTTTTTTTAACTATTTGGGAACCACTGGCATAGAGGATTGGTGTACCAACTGTGCAGTGCTCCTGTCTCAGCTGAGTTAAAGCTCTTGGAAATGCTATGGTGTCAGCCTAAGAGGGTCCGCTGTTTAATAATTTGCTTTGTATGCAAATTAAGCCTGGCTCAATCCTTGGCATCTTCAGGTAGGGCATGGCTATAAAAGACTTCATCTGAAACTTCCAAGAGCTACTGACAGTCCTTGTCAACAATATTGGGCGGGCTGGACTTGGTAAAGGCCACTGTCCAATATTTCTAAGTACAGTGGTGCCCCGCAAGACGAATGCCTCGCAAGATGAAAAACTCGCTAGACGAAAGAGTTTTCCGTTTTTTGAGTCGTTCCGCAAGACGAATTTCCCTATGGGCTTGCTTCGCAAGACGAAACGTCTTGCGAGTTCTTGCAAGTTTGTTTCCTTTTTCTTAAAGCCGCTAATAGCCGTGCTTTGCAAGACGAAAAAACCGCAAGACGAAGAGACTCGCGGAACGGATTAATTTCATCTTGCGAGGCACCACTGTATTCCACAATGGTCAGACTCCACATTTCTGCCATATGATCCGTCCACATTTCTGCCAAAATCCATGTATAGAGTTCCCAAGTAATGAACTGAATATGGATATATGAGAGAGGAACTTGATATTCAGATTTAATTCAACATTAATGTCCCGCCCCTTCTCCAAGGAGACCACAGCAACGTACTTGGGTTCATGCTATTTTATCCTGGATAGCTCAATTGGTTAGAGCGCCATGCTGATAACACCAAGGTTGCAGGTTCTATCCCCGTGTGGGACAGCTGCGTATCCCTGAATTGCAGGGGGTTGGACTAGATGATCCTCAGGGTCCCTTCCAACTCTACAATTCTATGTTCCTGTAAGGTAGGTTAGGCAGAGATTGTGGGGATGTTTAGGAAGGCAGGAGAGGACATATTATTTTATGATACCCTTGCTAACTTGTGTCAGCAAGTTCTATAGCTTAGCAGAGTTGTTAAACAATCCCCCTTTTAAATTAGCACAGCGGTTAGCTAGTTGCTGGCTCGTCTGAGCCTCCCTATTTGAGATTCCTGGCAAGATCCCTTTTCTATCCCTTCTAAAAGAATAGACACGACCATCTGATTAAAGTTAACATAAAACTAGTTTACTGACAATCATCCAGTTCACAATAAGATCCCTGAACGCAGACCTAATTTACAGAACAACATATAACTATGTAAACTATCCCATAAGGGAAATAGTCTCAAATGGCTGCAACTCGGCAGTCACTTCTCCTAACTCTTAGGAACACAAAAAGGAGAACACGAAGAGCAGAACATGGAGGCCATGTGCTCCTCTGTCCCAGAACAGGCCACACCCACATTAAGTCGCATGCGAAGGAAGTCTGTCCCAGCTCAGGAGGAACTAGCAAGTTTTCTCCTGAGTGAGTCAAAGCATTCCCCAGCATGTGCATTGTAGGAATGTTGTACAGTGGTACCTTGGTTTGCAAACAGTCTGGTTTGCATACGTTTTGGATTACAAACACGTCAAACCCGGAAGTGCGTGTCCCGGTTTGCAAACTTTTTTTGGATTACAACCCATTTTGGGGGGATTATGGACATTTATTTTTTTTTGAGGCCCCACTGGCAAAAGCGCACCTTGGGTTACAACCTGTCTTGGTTTACAAACAGACCTCCGGAACAAATTATGGTTGTAAACCAAAGTACCACTGTATTTGACTACAATACATTTTTACATCCCACAGAGATAAGGTAAAAAAGGTAGCTTAGCCCCAGTCACCTAGTGAGCACCACAACCTCTCCAGCCCCAGCCCCAGTTCCACGTTATACACAGCACCAAGCTTTTTAATAAGCTTGAAGTGTTGTTAGTTACTCTCCCTGGGTCTTAGAGAAGACGTTTTCCTTCCCTCCTGGTGGTACCTGAATATAAAAATTTTTATTCCCAAGTATTTACTTCTGGTTATGTTCTCAAAACCCAATATCATTGGTTGGTTGGTTTGTTTGGTTTTTTAAAAAAACAAAAACAAAAAATAATTAGAAACACTCTGCTCCACCTTTTAAAATCCTCTGACTCATAACCCTTAAGTGATCCTGCGAGCAACGCACTCCGGTCTCTCCAGCTCTCCCTTTGCTGACAGCATCTGACTCTAGGAATTCATTTAGGAGCCATTTATTTATTTAACTGCTTCTTCCATAATGCAATATCCAGTGACTGATGATGTTCTCCTGCCACATGGTGGAGTTTTGTGGGTCTGCTCCTCGGTGGCTACTGCTATAGTCTGTACAAATGAAGCCACAGAAAGAGAGAAAAGGGAAAAACCCCAAATATTTGCGGGGGGGGGGCGGGTGTATTGTGCAGTTCAATAATTCAGATGCAAAAAAAGGGGGGAGGGGATCTTGACGGGATGTACTTGCACTTCTTAATCCTTCACAGCCATGAAATCTGCTGAAGTTGGTGCGTGTGTTTTGCAGGAGGGGCTGCGTGATTCTTGTGCATTTATTTCGGATTCCCTTGAATAGTGGTTAAATGTTATTGCGAAGGTACGTGGTCATCTTCCAAGACCCTTCAATGTTTTGGAAGTAGAAGCTTCGCGAAGTTCATCTTTATCATCGAAATTGTATCATATGCACTTTTCTTTTTTGCTGCATTGGGTTCTTTTTCATACGAAGCTGCTCAGCTTACCTCCCTGGCTGCTGTGAAAGAAAGGAAAGTCTGGCGCGCCTTGCAAGTTCGAAGGTTGCAAAATCGTTAGCTAAGCCGCGAGCGTTCTTCTGCTGTTACAGAACTCGGGTTCAAGGCGCGATCTCTTCCTTCCTTCCTTGGATATTAGATGACAGTTCCCTTTCGCTCTTTTTAATGGGCATCTCCCTTCCTCCTATAAATGCATTAAGCTGCTGTTGTCTAGCAAACGATTTCTTTGATGCCGTCTGGGCAAATTGATCTCTGATGGGTTGGGTTACTGGGAGGGTTTGCGCGGGGCGCGCGCGTCAAAAATGGAGTCTTTGTGGAGAAAGGAGAACAAGAGTGTGAAGAGTGGGCGGGTCATTTTGGGGGTGCTGGGTGGGAGTTGGCAGGGGGAGGGTAGCGCAATCCTTACCTGGAAGAGACCGATCCCAGCTTTCTGGCATGCCAGAGAGGGAGAGAGAGAGAGACGGGTCACTTGGAGCTGGTGGTTGCGGAGAACTTAGCTCCTCATCCACCACCAGTTCTGTTATGTGAGGCACGGAGAGTGAGTCTTTTCCACGGAGAGGGAGCGGAGAAAGGTTGAAGAAATCCAAATGAATTCTTTCTCCTGGCTTCAGAAAGACAGGGTCCTCGCCTCCCTTCTCTGGTTACTGGGGAGGAGCGCGAGGGGAGCGACTGGATGACGGAAGGGCGCCATTAAGACAAAAGCCAGACAAAACAAAAGATTTAAAAAATAACTAAACAAGCATGCACGCACCCACTGTCAAAACATTGGACTTTGGGCCTTCGCATCTGTGCTGGGTGTGTGTGGAGTTCGGAAGGCGGAACGGAGAAGGCAAGGGAATCTCTTCTAGAATCTATATGTCCAAGTGGCTCTGATGGTGGTGGCAAACTTAGGGATCCCATCTCCCTCGCCCCCACCCCACCCCAGCCCCTCCTGAATGAAGCTGTCACCCGACGGTTACTAGCTCCAGGAGTGCCAACTTAAATAAAATATTGGGGAGCCCACGTAATCGATCACCAGACGCAGCACACGGACATCATTTGAATGGCAATGTCCATCAACTTGGGGGGGGAGGGTAGCCCCCTCAAATATTTTATTGGGGGGACCGAAGGGACCTCGGTCCCTATGGCTAGCTCCAAGGACGGCCCTTGGGCGCTGCCTCTGCGGGAGTCAAGCGGGGAATCGCGCCCGCACCAGCTCTCCCGGAAGAGGACACCCGCCTCCGAGAGCGCGCTGGATGTCACCACCTTTGGACTTCTGCCTTCTGGTCCCTTTGTCCCTTTTCGCATCCGATCTGCGGTGTCTCGCGTGACAGCCACTTTATTCTTTCTGCTCCCTCCTTCCCCCTCCCCTGCATGGGGGGGGGGGAGAGAAGCAACATACCCTTTAGACCGCGACTAGGAACTTTGAAATCTCGCAAGGAGGCACTGCAGGTGGCCACGTAGGAGCAGCCGATCCGAGCGAGCGCAGAGGCCAATCTGATGGCGGGAGCAGTCCACCCGTGGGGACTCCGCACAAAGGGAACATCCCGCACGCGTGGGACCCACGCCTCCGTGGGGGATACGAGGCTTTCCTGCGAGGTGCTCCAAGCCGGGCACTCGCCTCGGCGCTCCGAGTCCTTTAGACAACAACAGCCCACAGGTGGATCAGGGAGCGAGCATGCACGCCGACGGGGCCACTTTGGAGACATGCAGCGGTCAGTGCAAACCACCCCCCGCGCGCAGACACACACACTCGCCAACGGCGCTTGCACATGCGTGCTGACCGCAGCCAACTTCCCATGCCTGCTGCCTGGGGCTGAGTGCAAGGAGTGCGTGCCTTTTCTCAGTCACTCCTCGCCAGTGCAGCAGCGGGGGAAGCGCCCGCGGCTCGACAGTGCGCCCGACGCTCCTCGCTGCAGATCCAGCCGGGATTCTTTCCGCCAGGTGACGGACGGGGGCGGCTGTTTTACCTGGCAAGGTGCAGCTGCTGCCGCCCTTCTTTTGCCCCCCACCACCCTGCCAATCCATCCTCCTCCGGGAGCCGCTTCTCCCTCCTCCTCCTCCTCTTTGCTCTGCCTGCTGGATGGTCCCTCAGTCAGCCAGCTCCCAGGGTGGGGCTGGGTGCTGCTGCTGCTGCCGCCGCCTGAGAGCCTCCCCAGTGCGCCTCGCCTTGCCGAGCGCGGAGCGGGCGCAGCATCAGCATCTCTCGCTCCAGCTGCCGCCGCCTCCTCCTCCTCCTCCCTCGCAGGGACCTGCATCCCGCTCGTCCAATCACAGCCCGCGCTGCCTGCGCCACGTGACCCCGGCGGGCTGAGGGGACCTGCTGCTTTCCCAACGCCAGAGGGATGCGGGCGGCAGAGCAGGAGAGGAGGCAGCGGCTGCGGAGCTGCGAGGTGCCTTGACTCTCTTTTCCCCCAAGCCCAGCCCAGCCCGACCCCTTTATGGCAGCGGCTGCTCCAGCCTCCCGGTCCTCCTCCTCCTCTTCCTCCTCCTCCTCTTCTTCTTCCTTCCTGACCATCACTGCTCATGCCGTTCCCCGGGCTGGGCCAGGCCCCTGGATATCTCTGCTGAAACTCTCAGGATCATCATCATCATCCTCGCCATCATCACCATGCCAGGACCTGGGTGCCTCTTCCTAACCTGCTGTTGGCTGGGCCCCCCGGGATGCTAAGGATCCCCCCGTCAGCCCGAGAGAGCCATTCGCTTTTTGGGGGACGCTGCCGTTCCCTCTTGCTGCGGCTGCGGAGTTGAGTTACGAAGTCATGGTGTTGTGGGAATCTTCCCCACCTCGGCAGTGGAGCAGCGGCTGGACACTTTGCGATTGCTTTTGCTGGTTGCTGCTGCCGGTGTTGTTTCTCATCGTAGCCCGACCGGTGAAACTTGCAGCTTTCCCTACCTCCTTAAGTGACTGCCAAACGCCTACCGGCTGGAATTGCTCTGGTAAGCTTGGGGAGCGGGAGCGGGGGTGGGGGAAAAGAGAAATGTACAGCAATGCCCATCCGTCTCTAAACGAAAGCATCTTCTAAAAAGAGATCGGAGGGGTGGGGTTGAGCCAGTCTCTCCAAACCTCGCTGGCACATCGCGCAGCTGTCTGGAAATTACAGGTCGGATTTGATGCGAAAGGAATAGAAT